TTGTCCCTTATCTTCTTGAGGCCGGACTGACTCCCCATATTGTTGATAAAGCCCAAGGTCTTAAACTTCCACCCAGAACCCTGGATATTTTTACTATTTTTCCTGCTGTTTTCTAGTTCATCATTTCCCAGACTACTTTAGGGGTCAATCTTCCAGGGATCTGTATATATGTAGAGTAAATTCTTAAAGTTCTTAACAGTGTCCTCATTGGGGGAAATTCTTAGTATCCACTGGGCTATAAAAGGTTCTTCTTAGGCTTGACTCAGGTATCTCTGTCTTGGTTCAACCCAGCGTTTGTCCAGCCTCATGTGAGCAAAGAGTACTTCAGGGGCCAGGCTGCAATATTCTGACTGAGAACATCAACTCTGAAGCCAGATGCCGAAGGCTCATGTGTAGGATCTGCCCCCTCTAGCTGTCTGAATTTGGGCCAGTTACATTACTCTCTAGACTTGAGTTTTCCCATCTGTGCAGTGGGGCCAAAAAAGGTATCCAGGAGCTGGCAGGTGGTGTGATGGATAAGGGCGCTGGACTCCAAGATGGCTGACTGCAGTTCAAGTCCTGAACCTGGCAGCTTGCTTTCTCTCTCTCTCTCTGTCTCTCTGGTCAAATTAAAATAAAATAAAGCTAAATAAAATAATTGTAAAAAAAGAAGTATCCATAAAATTGTGATGTGGATTAAACAGAAAGTGGTTAACACAGCATCTACACATAATGGATATTGGCTAAAAAGAATAGCAAGTTAGGAAATGCTGGCCTAGATCCTTGTATAAACTCATCTCAAACACAGTTACTTCTGCCTCTTTCTTTGATCAGCACATCCTGCTTCCATTTCCAGGCCTTAAATGTGGAATGTCCTTAACCCCAATTACCAAGCTATTTTACTTATTTATTTGTTTGCTTGTTTGTTTATTTTAAAATAGATGCCTGCACTCACTGGAGAGAGACAGAAAGGAGTAGGTAGTGAGAAAGCACCCCTCAGGAGGGTGAGCACATTGCAATCTCTTCTCCATTCTCTTCTCAGGATTTTAGGCACACATGTACACACACCTGGCATGTTTTTCCAGCCACCAGGTCTGGGATTCAAACCACTCAGTTGGCCACGTAGGACCCAACCACTTTAACTACCATATCACCTGGTTGGCTCTATTATTTACTTATTGTTGTAGGGCACATGAGCTCACTGGAGAAACATAGAGAGAGGCAAAGTGAAAAAACATCCCCCAGGAGTATGACCATGCCACAGTCCTTTCTCTCCATTTCTCATCTTGGGATTTTGGATACTATTTCATAAGGTTCTTTCTTCCTCTAAAGAGTAGGTTGAACAGAGATGCAAGGAGTTGGAAAAAGATATGAGGCACTGATGTCATGTTGTTTATTGCTGAGTTCAGGGTGAGCTCACAGAACTCTAGTAGCACTCACAAGGTCCGTCCTCCCTCTTGGAGTTTATACAACACATGAAGAGCACTCATAAAGCGGTTTCCCTCCTCTCAGAGCTCACAGCAAGCTGAGCTGAGCTGATCCAAGGCTGAGCCAAGCCAAGGCCATCAGGGCTCACCAGACTGAACCAAGACAAAGCAAAGCAGGGCCTGCTGACTAGCCAGGGGCTCCCCTGCTCTTAAAAAGGCTGGAGACAATAGTGGCTCATTACCAATTATATTACAAGCATGCAAGCACAGTACAACTAATAACAAGTTCTTTACCCTGTGGCCTTCAAACATGATAAGACAGGAAGGGAGGGAACCAGACTAAATGACTCTAATGACAATACAGACACACACACGTGCATACCTTGCATGTTTTTCAAACTGCTGGTTCCAGGACTCAAACCACACAGTCAGCCATGTGGGGTCCAGCTGCCTTAACCACCTCCCTACCAGTGGGCACATCTGTTTGAAATTTTTTGACCACCGTATGATCTTCCTTGCTATCAGCTCTCTAAAGATAACTGTCTGTGGGAACCAGCAGTTAGCGTAATGTCTATGTCGCTGGACTCCCACGTAGCTGACCGCGGTTCGCGTCCCAGACCCGGTGGCTTAAATCTCACGCCGGGCGCGTGTGCATGCGTGCCCAAGATCCCGAGAGGAGAATGGAGGAGAAGGGATTGCGGCGTGACCATCCCCCCTATGGGGTGATTTCTCGCTTTCTGTCTCTCTGTCTCTCTCTGTCTGTCTGGTGAGCACACGTGCCCTATAGCAAAAACCTCTCCACAAAAAAAAGAAAAAAAAAAAAAAGATAACTGTCTGTGTATTGTTGGCTCTCTCCCCTGCATCTCCATTTTGCACCTGTTCATCCATTCCTTCCTCTTTTATTCTCCTCTTCCCTCAGTCCTCAAGCCCCTTTTCCTTTTCTCAACGAACATTTTTTTTTAATTTAAAGAAAAAATTTATTGAAGATCTGAAAAACAATTCCTAAAAGATCAACTTCAGAAAACTGTAGCTACACAATGCATTGTGTCTACCATGTTAAAACATGCATTAGACACAAATACAAAACCATGAAACAAGCCACCATTCTTCAACAATTTGAGCGAAGATAATACCTAAGGAACAACATGGATCACTTGCAAAGGATGGGCTCTTTAAGCACCATTAAAAAAAAATAATAATAAAGGAGCACAGATGGATAAGTGTGTTCAGATATATACACTGAATAGAACCTTTGGCACTAGGAATCAGAGCATTTTGTCATATAGCATTAACACATATTATAAAAGTGCAAAGTGTCAAAGGAATAGAACCACCAGCATTCAAAGCAGCTTTGTCAACTAGGCAATTAAACACTCTACAGCATGTCTCTGTTGTCCATCATTGAATACACTGGCAGCAACTTTGAAATGAAAAGAAAGAAAAGGAAAAAGGAGCCGAACCCCTTTTATTTTCTCTGTTTAAAATCAAACAGAAACAAACATCAATTCTGTTGTACACTAACATCTTCAAAGTACATAGTTTGTACAAGAGAAGGACTAAGAACAAAAATGTGTTTACAGAGGTCCAAACACAGGTGAGTGAGTGCGCCCCTCACACAGCTTTCCGATGGTACTCGGGGGGAGCCACTTCATAATCGCTGGCACCAAACAAAGTTGCAGAATTCTTTGCC